CGGGCTTTAGTGTTTTTCTTGAATTCGTCGAATTGGTAGCGCGAGAATGATAGATCGACACGTGTTGTCCCCCCCCCCCCCCCCTATGGAATCGAGTCTGTTCAGCTAGAATGGCTAAAAGATTATCTATTTAATCGTAGCCAAACAGTAATATTCGACATACAATGTTAAGTCCTCACCGCTTCCTATTACCCATGGAGTCCCGCAAGGATATTTTTAATATTCAACCTCGTTCCCAGGGCTTTTCCCTTTTTGTCATTGGCAAAAAGGGAAAAGCCCTGGGAACGAGGTTGTTTAATATTCTAATTAATGACATTTCTCGAGTTGCGGACAATGTAAGGAAGTTACAGCATGAGCTCCACCTTTGAATTTACTATATGAGTAAATTCTTAAACACGTCCGAATTTATCATTATGATAAATTCGCGGCAAATTTTGAATTTATCATAATAATAAATTCGCGGCACCTAACACTAACCCTATTAACCCTAACAACCACTGAGCTATAATATATCTGGAGGAAGTGCTCGGCATGAAAGAGTGTCGCCAAAAACATGGCGGATTTTCACGTCTGCTGACGCCAGAATGACGCCACTGGTCCCAAATCCTCGTGGTAATTACCACTGACCAACCGCGATCCTCGGCTTCAGACGACGATTTCACCCCCCTGGTTTTTGCACAAAAAGCTGAAACTCTGCTGAATGTTTATATAAAAAACATCAAGAAAATATGCAGAGTTTTTGCATGGCTTCGTGATGCCACAATTCTTTAACATCAAGATGAAACACTTCCGTTTACCGGTAAGATGCATTAAACTCTTTTTCTGTGCTTCGTTTGTACTAAATACCGTTTTTTAAAAGAAAAAATTGGATACGAAATTTACATATAACGACGCTGTACAGCAGCTGGTGTTTTTCTGGCTTTATCACTTTTCTTTGTGTTTTATTTTGCCATTTGGGCAGGTATTAGTTTTTGTTTTCCTCTGGAGTCCTTACCCAAAGATCCAACATCAATTTTCACATACTTATTTATTTAACTTCGCCATTATCATGCATGCATTCATGGCAGGGTCACCACAACAGTATATGTTACCAATTACTGTGGGCCCTTTAAATTTTAAATAGATAATAAAACACAATTAAATAAAATACAACGAAAACTTCGATTTACCTGATCAAGGACATCACACGAATTGGAACTTGAAGCCAAGCAAACAAATTCCTCGAAGTTTTCGTTGTATTGTATTTCACAAACATACTTAATTAGCTGCTTGCAAATTTTATAAAACATATAACAATTCATAGAATGTAAAATAGCTATTGAAACTTAATAAACAAGACTAGGAAGATCTGACAACTTCGAAAAATATAGATCAAAACAGTAAAGAACCTGGACGTGCACAAATTGACACAAATCTATGCAAATTTAGACAGAACATAAAATTAAGACTTACAACCTTCCTAATCATGTTTATATTTCAATAACTATGAGACACTAATAGCAGCAAGAGAGTGAAGCAGCAAGACTACGAGCAGTGTTACACTTTAAGCAGATAGACTTCCATATCCAAGGATTTTGAGGTTGATAATTTAGGTATAAGGCAGTTTTGAAGTAGTCTAACAGCAGAGATTTAAATCTTGGTAAAGTGAGAGACTGATGTCTCAGTTCTGCAGGAAGAACGTTCCAAACTCTTGCTGTTCTATTCATGAACGACCCTTGGAATGTTACTGTTCTGCATTTTCTAATCCTGAACGTAATGATGTCAGAATTGCTCGTAGCTCGCGTTGTTCTTATATTTCCATGCTTCCGTTCAGGGATTATCTCCTCACTGACGCACACCAACCCGTTAAACATCTTGAAGAAAAACGTCAAGTCTAAATATTCATGCCAGAAACTAATCGGTAGTAAATCGGTAGCTTGTAGTCGATCCTCGTAAGTTAGTTCGCAGTGGAATGGAAGGTTTAGTATGAATTTTGTTGCACGACGCTGCACTCTTTCGACGCGCTTGATAAGCTCGATGGTCTGAGGGGCCCAAATCTGGGTGGCGTAGCCAAGGTGTGGTCGTACAACAGAGAGGAACAGACATCTTCTTGTTCTTTGGCTTCGTATCTCCCGGGAAGATCTCCTGACAAATCCCAGAAGTTTGTTCGCTTTTGAAGTCTGTTCGACAACTTGTTTCTTCCAGCACAACTCATTCGACACCCATACACCGAGATCTTTCTCTTGATTAGCAGCGGCAAGTACTGATCCATTCAGGGCGTAGGGATACTCAACTGGTGTTTTCTTCCGTGTGATGCGCTGGCACTTACACTTCGTTTGGTTGAATGTCAAACCGTTATCTGTGGCCCAACCGTTAAGACTGATAATGTCGTTTTGAAGACCAGCAGTGTCTTGCAGGTTGTCCACTTGCTTCAGAATCTTCGTATCATCAGCGAAATTCACAGTCTTGGGCAGATCGTTCACATATAAAAGAAAGAGCATTGGTCCAAGGATGGAACCTTGAGGAACACCAGATGTTACTTTGCGTTCTTTTGATGTCGCACCAAGTACCGTAACACGTTGTCTTCGCCCACGAAGGTAGGATGTAAACCAGTTCAACAGGTTACCAGAGATGTTGTACTGGCGTAGTTTATCAAGGATAAGAGAGTGTTGCACTTTATCAAAGGCTTTCGACATATCTAGATAAATCACATCAGTCTGCTTGCCAGAGTCTAGTAAGGAGCCAATGTAGTCGATAACTTCAACCAGTTGAGTCACGCAGGATTTTCCAGGAATGAATCCATGTTGCGCACGGTCTAACATCAGTAATAGATGGTCACGCAGACGAATCAGAACACACCGTTCTAGAATTTTCGAGATAATACTTAGCAGGGATATTGGACGATAGTTCTCAACATGATCTTTGTTATCTTTCTTGTGTATCGGCACAATATTTGCCAGTTTCCACTCGTCTGGAAATACGCCTGTCTCGAGTGACTTGTTGTAGAGTAAAGTTAAAGAGGGTGCGATCTGCTCAGCTGTTTCTTTTAGTAGCCTTGCCGGGATCTCATCAGGTCCAGTTGCTTTGCTGCCGTCAAGGGAACGAAGTGCAGCGGCAACCTCGCAGGGTGAGAGGGATATATCTTGAAGTACTGGACAGCTAAAAGTAGGTAATTGGGGGCGAGGTTCTTCTGTATCGCCAGAAAATACCGATGCAAAATGTTGGTTGAAGGCTTCTGCGATGTTGACAGAACTAGAGACTACTTTCCGAACGGATGTGACACCCGTGGCCGTGTTTTTGCTGCTAGATGGTACAGACATTTGCTCAGGAACGCTGCTTGCTTTATTGCCAAGTTTGAAAACGGACCAAAATCGTTTTGGGTGTGCTTTAATGTCCTGTTCTAATGATTCGAAGAATCTTGCCCGACTATCACTAATCATTTGAATTTGGCAGACAAGTATGTTGAGGACGAATGTTTTAACTTCCTACGTACAGATTCTTTCTTCCGTATCATATACAGAATGTCTCCAGTTATCCAGGGTGGTGAGCTCTTGCCTTTGATCTTTCTCGTGGGAATAAACTCACGTACTGCGCACACAAACTTTCCTTGAAAGTCGCCTTTTAGGTAGTCGTATACGTGTCTATTCTGCTTAGTTTGAGCTTTTACGTTGGCTTTTACTTCGAATAAAATACAGTTATGATCAGTTACGATGCCACTTTCTTGTGGCAGCAGGATGTCGTTTACTTTTACTTGATCGGGTGCGCTTGTAATAATGAGGTCCAAGATGTTTTCACCTCTAGTCGGTTGATTATTTATTTGCGAGAGAAAGTAGTCATTCAGGAGTTCAGTAAATTGTAATTCGTCAGACCCCGTAGTCTGATCCGGAGAATCCCAAATAATTTTTGGTAGATTAAAGTCTCCATAAATTATGATATTATCATAACTTGTTGACAAAATAGCGAGGTATGAATCAAATAAATTTAGCCAATTTCTGTCCGAGTTAGGTGGTCTATAGCAACAGCAAATGCACAACTTTGTCCTTGAGTTTGTTGTCAATTCTACAGTGACCAATTCAAGTTTACATTGTTCTTCGACTATTTCATGTACAGAATGGAATGAACTTGATTTGACTGCTAACAACACACCACCAGCACGGCTTCCTCGGTCCTTCCTATATATCTCGTAATCGTTAGATAGTATTTCTGCGTTACTAAAGTCTTTATTTAGCCAAGTTTCCGATACAAACGCAAGGTCTGCGTTTTCCTTGTATACAAGTTCTTGGAAGCGTGCGAAGTTACTAATTTGTTGACCATTAACTAAATGCAAACTTTTCAGGCTTCGAGCGTTGATTGCGAGACAATTTAACGAAGAAATTACGTAAGGTTGATTAGTTCCAAGTGAACAAGGTCCAGGGTTCGTTGCAATATCTCCGGCAAGCAAGAGTAGGATAGACGCATGCGAGATCTTGCGATTAATTTGTAAGTGTAAGCCGTAGCGATGCTGATTATTGCATGGTAAGTTATACTTTCTGAATACAACATCACGGGTGGATACCCAAACATAGCATAGTTTTTCGGGCAGAAAAACAAGTTCGGAGCAGATTAAAATGTTTTCTGATGTAATTTGGGTCTTATTAGCGTATCGATTAACTTTCACAGACAATTTCAAAATTGAAAAAAGAATTAACATGTTAATTATGAAGCGTCCAATCTTAACTAGACTTTTCTTTCCATCTGAAGTGTTTTTTAAAACCATTTCTGAATTTAAAACTTACACTCACGTGATTTAAAGGTTTCTACAGCATCATGATGGAGAAAGTACAAAATAAATGTTCTGTAGATTAGATCATTTAGCAGACGGCGGTCGTCGGTCGATAACACTTGAGGGGATTTGTAATTAATACGGAAAATACTTGAGATTATATTTCACTGCAATGTCAGGGAAAACCACGCCAATGAAAGAAAATTAATCAATAGTATAGACTAGACGATAGATAGCAAACAGTTTAACATCAGCAGTGTTGATTAACTTGTAAGCCACCACAATAAAATTAATAAAATTAATGGCGATAGCTTTCTTTCTATATTTGATACAAACTATGGCTTTCGCCCGTTTTGCGGACAAGGTTACAATACATAAGCAACGATAATTTTATGCTAAATAGATAAAGCACAACACAAGCTTGATAGTCACAACTTGCTAGACCTACATTAACACGAATATTCAATTATATTTAAATAAATAGGCACAGTTACGGAATAAATTGACATAAAACGCAAAATATTTACTTTGTTTAGCCATCTAGACAACAAAGCAAGTTACATTCGTTTAGTACAAGATGTTATGTACAGCATTAAACCAAAATGGCAATTGGGGAAAGCGATTTTATGAGTCCGCACAATGGGTTTCCATTTAACCTGTGTTTATTGACGTTTAAGGCTATATAACTGTTCATGTGAAGAACGAATAATAAAATAAAAATCGGTAAAAAATTCACCAGGTCAAAATCTATAACATTAAACCATGAAAGGTTAAACTTAACCTTGTTTTCTTCTTAAAAATCGCGCCCAACTTGGTATACCCATATTTCGACCTTGGCTGAAACTTGACCCATGCATTAATCTACCTGAGTAGATTATAGTTAAATGTAACAGTAACAGTAACAGTAACAAATGGCTTTATTAGCATGACTTCACATACAAGTATTGCTAAAGCTTATTAGTTAATTATAAATAGTTACAAATGCAAAATGTTCTGTGGTAATATGACACTGTGAGTAATACCAGAAATAAAAATGAAGTTATTGATATAAAGAAAGGCATAGTTAACAAATGAATACTCTATTTACAGTATACAGTATATGTAATTGAAGAAGTTTGGGAGTTAGTTCGATAGCCTATTGACTGTCAGCATTCCGAGCTTCAAGGCATTTAGATCTCTTTTCAAAACATAAAGAGATAAATTTTGATAATTTTATCACGGTTTCTTTATCAGTTGATCTCATTATCTCAACTGATAAACTGTGTTCGTTTAAATCTGTTTCATTGGTGGGATCACTTTCCAAGTCATTTAAAAAGTTTTCTCAGAGACTACTATAGGCTTCACAGGATGTTAGGAAGTGATGTTCCGTTTCAATTTCTCCTGCCTGGCAGACCTTGCATATTCGGTCTTCTCGCGGAATGTTTTCGTATCTACCGAGTTCAATCATTAGTTTATGGTTACTTAGTCGGAGCTGTGTTAAACGATTTCTTTGGTTTGAATTAGTTATGGTAGTCAAATAAGTTTCAAGCTCATAGTCTTCCTTTATGCTTGTGTAGAAGGTAAGTTTGGATGAGTTTTCAAGTTTATGTCTCCAGAATCTCTGGTAGTTTTCTTTAGTATCTTTAACGCATGATTCAACTAGATTGGTTGTAAGTGAATCTAGGTCAGGGATTGCTCTATTACAATTCAAGGTTTTCACTATATCCATTGCTTTTCCATAGAAAGAATTGCTCTTTTTAATAAATCTTTTGATATGAGGAAAGCTTGTTTTGAAATGGTTGTTTCAGGAAGTGAATTAAGATGAGTGACGTACTTGAAGATTCTTTTGAATACATTGATAATTAATGGATATTTTCCAAGTTCGCTTCTTGAGGCGATATTACTCGTCTTTCTGCCAACGCCCAAGTAGATCTTACAGAATTTTAAGTGTACTTTTTAAACCGGCAGTTTATCCCAATTGATAAAATCGTTTTTGATGTATACACCCCAAACTTCTGCATTGTACAGAAGAATGCATGGGGCAAATTATGCTGTCGAAAATTTTAATAGCAGATTTGGGGTTAAGTTGGTGTAGGTTGAGCCGTCTTCTGATGCTATAGAGCGCATGCAGGGCTTTTTCACTCAGCTGTTTGATGGCCAAGGAAAAATTACCATTGTGATTAAGCTTTATGCCTAGGTAACAGTATTTCTGTACAACAGATATCTTTTCATTTCCTAGTGTGAAAATTGGCTTCGCTTTTTTTGTTTTCCTTTTTTCAAAAATCATAATTTGGGTTTTCTTTAGGTTTACCTCCATTAGCCACTTCTTACTCCAGCTATGGAGTTTATCCAGACACTTCTGGAGGCCGAATTTTGATTTAGATAGTATAATTAGATCATCTGCGTAAAGAAGACAGCTCAGTTCTGTTCCGTTTGGCAGTATAAATAGGTCCGAATTGGTGTTTTTAAATAAGGTCGTTATTTCATTTATATAAATATTGAAAAGAAGGGGGCTTAGTATACATCCTTGACGTACACCTTTAGAATAAGTGAAAAAATCGGTTCTGATGTTGTTTTGTTTGATTGCACATTTCGAGTTAGAATAAATACTCTTAATAAGACTGTAAAACTGACCATCAATTTTATTTTCAAGTAATTTCAAAAAAAGACCTTCGTGCCAAATAGAGTCAAAGGCTTTTTTAAAATCCACGAAACATGCATAAATTTTACCTTTGTTTTGTTCTACTTGTTTGTCAATTAGTGTTTTCAAAGTAAAAATATGGTCTGCAGTTCGGTGACCAGACTGAAATCCAATTTGCGATGGATGTATTAAGCTTTGTTGGTAACTAAAATTGCTTAGGCGGTCATTAAGGATAATACAGAAGAATTTGCTGAAACAGCTTGTCACACAAATTCCTCTGTAGTTGTTGGGGTTAGTTTTATCACCAGACTTAAAGATTGGCGTAATCAGACCTTCACACCATTGATCTGGGAAGCTACCAGTTTCTAGTATGAGGTTAAAAAGTTTTTTGTATCCTTGTAACAGTATGTTTGTACTGTATTTGAGCATTTCGTTTCTTATTTTTCAGAGTACGCGGATTTGTTGTTTTTTAATTTCCTCGCAGCGTTGATAATTTGTATTCTGAAATAGGTTCATGAGTAAATTATTTGTGGGTTCCATTTCAAGAGTTTTAAGCGTTTGTAAGATATTAATCTGTTCAGGGCCTATTAAGTGCTTTGTGTGCAGAGATTCAAAATGATTTAGCCAACTGCTGGCTGTAACATCCGGCTTATTAAGGAAAAGTCTTCGAGTTCATACTCATGTTCTTAAGTACTTTCCAGAAGGAGTTTGGGTCATTTTCAGACACTCTTTCTAGTTCTTCTAGTTTTTTTTCATGAAAAAGTTCTTTTTTACGTTTTAACGTGTTTTTGTAATTTTGAGGGCAAAATGGTATTCGTTTCTTATATCGTTATTCAGGGGATCACGGTGTTTTTGGTTGGCAAGTTTCCTAACTGAATGTCTTTTTAAACGGCATTCTTTATCAAACCATTTCTTATTACAGACATTAGATATTTTGTTTCTGAATTTGGTCTTTTTTATTTGGAGGGAACTCTTTCCGGCATGCAAAATAATATCTTCCATTCTGGAAGCGAATGTGTTAACTCCTTCCTTTGTGAGGGGAGTGTCATAGTTGATTAAACTTTCCAGTTTTTGTTGGATTTCGACTGATTTTAAAGCTTCAGTGAATGAGATCGGCGAATTATTTTCCCATTTAAATTGATAAGGGAGTTTATGAGTAGTAGATATGGGAGTCGGAGTTATGTTGCTAGTTGAGTTAATATGTTGCTTTGTTTTCATCCACGTCACAATTTGACTGTGGTCAGATAAGTAGGTTGGTGGTTTGACAATAAAGTTTTCGATGGTTTGTGTAAGCTCTTGGTCACAGATTATATAGTCAACTACACTAGTTCCATTTTTGTGATGGGAAGTGGGTTTACCAAACGAGTCACCAAGAGTTCTTCCATTCAGAATTCTCATGTTGCAATTTTTTCAAATTTCAATAAGACTTTTACCATGCTGGTTAGTAGAGTTATCAAAACGTTCTCTGGTTTTTGGTTCAAAAGATGTTTCAGAGATGTTATTTATGAAGGTGTTGCCTTCTTTTGATACAAAATCTTTCAGATTGCTGGTACGGGCATTAAAGTCCCCTGACAGCATTATGTTTCCTTTTTTTGGAGAAATTCAAAATGTCGTTTTCCAGTTCTTCAAATATTTCATCATCAAAGTATGGAGACATTTCTGGCGGAATGTAGACTCCACAAACAAATAGATATTTTGTTTGGTTTAGAATTGTACGATCTATTCGACCCCACAAGAAATTTTTTGTTTGTTTTTCAATTGAGAGAAAGGTTTCTAATTCTTTTTTAAACAAGACTGAAATTCCACCAGACAAACGGCAACTACGATTGGATCTGGGAGTTGCCGTAATGGTAGATACTGCCTTGAAACCAGGAATACTGTTTGTCTCTTTGGACCATGTTTCAGTCAAGAAGATTAAGTCATGATCTTTTATATTTTGTATAAAATCACCATTGGTAAGCTTGTTACCGATAGTGTTATGTTTCAGGCCATTTATATTCCAAGCACTAAATGATAGCCTGGAGTGACAGATGTTATGTGCTAGAGATTATATATTTACATATCTATATATATATTAAGAAAAGTGTGTTTTGTTACTTACAACCTTTTTTATTTCATTGGAAGAGACCATAGAGGAGCTTTGCAATTTCTGTGATCTTTTGATTTTTGGCATCTTCTGATGATATTTTCTGGCTGTTTGGATTTGTATTTCTTTCCGTTGGTGGGAAGTGATGGTCGTAGTTTTGGAATGGTGGAGTATTGTAGTATGGTTTGGGGAAGTGTGAAGGGGGGAATGTATTTGGGTGGAGTAGTGGACTTGGGTGGGGTAGTGGACTCGGGTGAAGTAGTGGATTTGAGTGGAGTAGTGGATTTGAGTGGAGTAGTGGATTTGGGAGGAATGGTTTATTTGGATCTGGGTGGAACTGTCGTTTGGTTTTGATGTGTCGATGGGTCTTCTGCGTTCCAAAGAATGCACTCTTTAGGTTCTTAGCAAATATCTTGATGCCTTTGTCGTTAAGGTGTTTTTTATCATATAAGAGCGATGTCGACTGGAACAAGTTTGTATGTTCAATGTTGGTAACATTTTTAAATTCGGTAGGGATTTGGAGGAAGTTTCTGTTCAGGTTCTGTGCTTTTTGGAGGAGTTCATCACTACGAGGGAGGAGATTTGATAGCAGGATCCGTGCCTCAGGATTTTTGTTTCCAATTGAGGTAAGAAGAGATCTTGTCTGGTCTGTGACTTTGTTAATTGGGAGCTTTTCAATGTCATTTGTACCAACATGAACAATGAAGGTCTTGGTTTGTTTGAATTCATATTGGTTTATGAGTTGATTTGCTGATTCTAGAGTTGGACATTTTAGGTATTCGGTGGATGAATTTGGGCAGAGCAGTTTGGGGTCGAGTTTTCTCCCATTTGAGTCACATAGGATGACTGTTTCTGCATCTAATGTTTTGGGTGAGGCCTTCTTGGTTTCACCTTGCAAACTTTGTGATATATTAATTGAGATGTCATGGTTGGGATTTTCCTCGTTAAGGGGAGAAAAAATATTGTGGGTAGGAATGTTGGGTATAACATTTTCAGTTGACGCGGAATATTGGGGTGATTCTTCTGTTTGAGGGTTAAGGTTCACTTCATTATTTTTCTTGAGTTTATTATATTGGTCAATGGTGTTACTAACTTTTTTCTCAATTTGTTTCTGCTTTTTGGATAAGCTATTCAGTTCAATATTATCCTTTCGCAGTAGTTCATTTGTTGCTTCCAGACTGCCAATTCTCTTTTTTAACATATTAATTTCTTTATCTTTGGATGTTAGATCATGTTTAAGGTCTTCATATGATTTGAAGATCTCTTGCTTGAAGGATACAAAGCTCGATTCGAGGTCCGCCATGTTATTTTTCATGGTGGTAAGGGATTTTTCACAGCAAGGGTTTGAAGGATTTGAAAGAGGAGGGAGGTCTTCGGTTGTGACTGTGATAATTGCTGGATTTGTTACGTCACATTCATTTTCCATTGGGGGTTGCGAGACAGTTTTTAGGAAAGATTGTATGTTCTTTGATGATGTGAAATTTGATGTATTTCTAACGTTTTGGTCGACGAGATCTTTGATGATAGGGAATTCACTGTCACCCCAAACACGTAATGATTTACCTTGAATCTGGATTCGTCCAGTACTGCAGTAGATTATTATAGTGACAATGTTTACTTGAGTTTTCTCGTCCTCAGTCGACAATGTAATGGATATCTTTTCCGATTTGGTCGCATCGTTTTGAGCTGGTGTTTCATCCCATGTTGACTTAAGTGTTGTGCCGCCATCTTTGATTGCTTCGGCACAATAGCGGAGATAAAACGTTTTAATCCACGTGGTAATTCTTTCTTCGCTAGTAGTAAAAGCGATACAGTTGGAGGTTGTTTTGTATATCGAATAGTCTATTTCTTCGAAAGAAACTTGACGGGCTTTAGTGTTTTTCTTGAATTCGTCGAATTGGTAGCGCGAGAATGATAGATCGACACGTGTTGTGAGAGCCAAAGCCATACTTGATTTTTCAACGCTCAATCGGTTGATTTCCTTTATATTTCTTCGATGATTCTTTTCTTCGTGTATTAGGCCACAATATTTGTCATAGGTCAGTCAACGTTAACCAAATCTTATTCCAAAAAAATTGATTTAAAAATGCACACGCAAATTCGCCATCTTGCAAGTGTCATCACATCACATTATTTTTGACACGAAAACGGCTTTGATATACGCAGGGGGCTAAATGGTTTATAAATCGGGAAATTCAATAAAATTCACATCATTGTATTCAGTAAGGGTTACTCTTTCTCTTGGTACTTCAAAACATAAAAAGGCCCCTGAAACCGACGAGTAATCGTTGTTTGAAAATGGAGTATTTTGCTTTTGTTGTCGCCAATCGCGGGAAGAGAGTGACTCTACAGGAAATATGGCGCGAACGCGACGTAAACAAGCCAGCTTTTCTAACATATTGTTCCTGATTGTATCATTTGTTTTTTATAGAATTCGACTTATTCGAGTTTATTGGAGCAAAAAATGGAATCTATTAATGATGGCAATGTTGTTATTGTTGATCATGATCATGGTAAAAAAACCCTCCCCCCCATAGGATTCCAGACCCCTCAATAGGGAGGGGGGCTGCCTATATTAAATGGAATGGCCCATTCAAAGTCCTGGCACATCAGCAAAGGTATAATAAAAACAATTATGGTAGATGAAATTGTACTTAAAACTTTGTTATTCTTTGCTATTCTATTCTTTAAATTATCTTTGTATACAGGGATGGATCCAGCATGATCTGGTAGGGGAGGGGGGGGGGTGCTCTGGTTTCGATTGCCGAGTTGTGTCAGTCATGTGTGAATTGTTGTTCGAAGTTTGATTATCATCATGTTATTACTCAAATTACTGTATCTCATTTTGTCTTTTTTGCTTTACCATGAAAAATAGCACCCCCTCTGGCCAGGGCTAGGGGGGGGGG